CTCTCTCCTCCACCCGAATTTTGGAAGTGGAGCAATTTTCGGACAAGCGCTGCTCCCGCTGCTCAGTGCCCCTCCCCTTCCCCCTCCCGCCACCCGTGGGTGCGGGTTGTATAAAAGGCCCGGGCCCGGCTGTCCAAAGCACAATCCAGTCCCTCGCTTACTCTCGAGCAGCTCGTGTGCGGTGCACTCCTCCCCCCCAAGTTAGAATGGCGTTCTTCAAGGTAGGTGTCCCCGACGAAGGCGGCGACGTGACGGCGGCGTGTCCGGCGGCGAGCTTTTTTGGATACAATCTCATCGCCAGAAGCAGCAGCAGCAGCAGCCCATCAAAAAGGATTACTCATGTGCCATAGTGGAAGTGTGATAAAAAAGTGAATTATTCAGTGAAAAGGAAAAGTGAAACGCAAAGGAAATATACAGTGAAATCAGTTCTCGCGGTGCCCGTTGTGGAGTGTGTTGTCGCCGACCGTCACCGTTCATCGAGCTGACGACTATCTTGTGGGCCCCCAGGTGCTGAGCTGTATGGCGGTCCTGGCCGTGGCCGCGGTGTACGCCGCCCCGGGCTACCTGGAGCAGCCCGTGTACGCCCACGCCGTGCACGCCGCGCCCCTGGCCGTGGCGCACCACGAGCCCCAGGACTACTACGTGAGTCACTTGGCCTCCTCGTCGAGGTCCCCCTGTGATCTGCGTGTGCTACAGCGGCGATAGTGCTGCCCGTGGACGCCCTGCAGCGTCCTTCGCTAACCTTCCCTTGTCTATGTTTTTCTCCCTTGCAGGCTCACCCGAAGTACGCCTTCAAGTACGGCGTGCACGACGCTCACACCGGGGACGTGAAGAGCGCCTCCGAACACCGCGACGGCGACGTGGTCAAGGGCGAGTACTCCCTGCTCCAGCCCGACGGCACCACCCGCACCGTGCACTACACCGCCGATGACCACAACGGCTTCAACGCCGTCGTCACCAACTCTGGCCACGCCGTCCACGCCGAGGTGCACGCCGCCCCCGTGGTCCACGCCGCTCCCCTGGTCCACGCCGCCCCCGCCTACGAGCACGGCGTCTACAGCCAGTACAGCTCTCCCTACGCCCACTACTAGGCGCTGCCCCTTCTCAAGGCCACCTCATCTTCTTCATGTTCATCATCATTGTCTCGTCACCCCAGCCGTCACCTCAACATCACCCCCACCATCAACTCCGTGCTGCGGCGACTTTGCATCATCACCATCATTCCAAAGTTCCTGGGCGGTCACCATCAACCATGCCCATCACCATTCGTTACGGGCTGTATACAGTGTCGAGCCCGGCCCCTCCTACCTCGTGTAAACTAGTCAAGCACGCTGAGAGGCGAGGACGCGGCGTGGTTCGCGCAGAGTGAGCTGGACCGCGGGTGGATAAACTAAAGAAAAAAATATATTTTCCTCAGAAATTGCTCAATGATTCCAAACCTACTCATTTCCCAACACTCTTTTTTCTCTCTCTCTCTCTCCACCCCTCCCACGACCGAAACCATCACAACCCACGAACACACTGACGGCGTCGAGGCGACATCAAAACAACAACGCCAACTCGTGGGAAAATGAAGACTGCGCCTGGCGCCGCCGTTGGAGGGAAAAAGCTTTCCAGCGCGAGTTCTCTCACAAACTGGGCAAGGCGCAACAACAACAACAACAACAACAACAACAACAACAACAACAACAACAACAACAACAACAACAAACGGAAACTGGGTCAAGGGCGCTAGCGACAAGCAGGGCGCAGACCAAGCGCGTGCAAAGCGCATTCCCTGCAAGAGTCTCTCTCCGGCCAAGAGAGACAATGAGTCATTCGAACAAACAGGCGAGGCACGTCCTGCGCCCGCCCTTCCCCGCCAGGCGCCCTGCCTCTCCTAATCCCGGGGTGCGTTTGCCCGGCGCCGCCGCCGCCGCACGGCGCTCCGAGAGAGCCTGGCGCATAACAATTTGATCACGGAGCGCGCGCTGGAGCAGGCGGCGGAATGCGCCCGAGATGATGTGAATGGTGTGATCGCGTGCGCCCTGGAGCCACGCAACGAACGGCCCACGCCACGCCACGCCACGCCACGCCACACCACACCACGCCCGCCGCACTACAAGGGGTGTACAGGGGGACGAAGGGGGTGTGGTGTGGGTGAGGGGGTGGGTGGTGAGAGAGGCGGGGGCGGGGGGGTTTCTTAACACCTTCGTGTTGAAACAAGAGCGGTGGTGGGGGGGGAGGGGGTGGTAGTGTGCTGCAGCACATGCGGACCGTGTACGCGCGCGCCACGCCTAGTTGACAAGACACAATGAACTCCCCCTCCGCCCCCCCCCTTTTCCCTCCCCCTCAACCCCCTTCCTTTCCCTCCAAGCTGCCACACCTCTTGCGCGCCCAAGTGCGGGTATCATCTGCATGCCTTTGCCGGCCGGGTGCCCACCTGGCGGCGGCGACACCTCCTCCTCCTCCTCCCCCGCGGCCCCGCGGCGCCCCAGAGCGGGCGTGACGGGCTGGCAATGTGTGGAAGTCGCTGTCACACCCCGCCACACACGCACGCACGGACGCACGCACACGCACACACACACACATTCACGCACGCACAGGAGCACCTGTGCTCTGGCTTTTGTTTTCCAACAGGTCCTCCACGTAACTAGCGCCCGCCGCTTGCGCCCAATGTGCGCGAATAGAACACTAACTCGTACGGAACGGACACGCGCCAGAGGGGGAGTTGCGCCGCCGCAGTTCGCTCGCCCGTGCCGCTGAATGCCTATGCACCGCTGTTTTCTGGACCAACCCACCACCGTGCCCCCCTCGCCGTCCCTTTACTGCATCGGTGCCAAAGTGAGGCAAAGTGCCTAGTTCAGCCCCAGCAAGCTCTCGTAGCGCCTAGTAGGTAGGCAACATCTTGTCTGCAGTGCATACGTGTACTGTGGTGTGGCCTACCTGGAGACTCGCAGGCGCCCAGTTCGCCCAATTTTCCGAATGGGAATGGTTAGATTGCGCAGGGTAACGGAGGAGAAGGGGGAGGGATGGTCAAAAGTGGCCAAAAAATTGTACGGGTTCGGTCCCCAACTGTAAAAAAAAACAACGGTACACAGTGCAACTACAAATTCTGACGGCGATTTGCGACCACTTGGTACAAAGAAAAGTAACAAGAATAGATGACATTGATGATGACAAGAAGAGTACAGGGCACGTGAAAGAGAAAGAAAGAGACGGCACGGGGAACGTGGGGAAAAGTGAGGATGGTCACCGAGCACTTCCGGCTGATTGCGTAGTTTAGCGTCTCACGTGACATCACGACAACACGACGAGCAAAAACTTTCACAAATACAAAAAGGAAACAGACGCGCCGCGGCCGCTCGGACGCCGCCACCGCCACTGGTGTATGTTGTAGGATACAAGCGTGAAATGTCCACTGTACTGATACAGTGCGCGCGTGTGTGTTGGTGTCGCGGTCGGTCAGCTGGGTGCGGTCGGCTTTGCCAGTACGCGAGGTTCTCACTCGATGCCCACATTTTTCACTCTGTGCTGGGTGCACCCTCCTATCGTCCTCTCTCTCCCTCTCATTGAAATACCCCCCGCACCCCCCCTCCCCCTTCCTCCTTTCTTCCACTACCCACAACCTCCTTTGCGCCCGAAGCGCCGCCGCCGCGCGCGCTCTGCTCTGCCAGTTTCTAGGAAACGATGCGAAGCCCACAATTTTATTGTGTGCTTTACGGCCGCCCCCAACTTGATAATTATGCCACTCTCTGAAGCGCCGCGGCGCCTACAAGCTCCCCGTGGTGTGAGCGCCTGCAAGCTTCCCGTCTGTGCGCGCGCCTACCGCGCCTACCGAAGAACGGCACGAGGGGCCGCCGCGTCGTGGTGGTCGCGGTAATAAGAACGGATGAAGAGTGAAAGACTTGGACCAGGAAGCGGTGGTAGGTGGTCGTCGACCAACGCTGTATCGGCGGCTTAGTGGCAGGTGGTGACAAACACCCTCCTCTCGCCACGCGCACCCCGGCGGCGTCTTCCTCTCTCTTCCTCTCCCTCCCAGCAGCGCTGGACATTTCCGCTTTGGGCATGAAAGGAGAAGGAGCGATGCGGGAGAAGGGGAG